ATGGGAGGGATTTTTGTATCTTTATTAAATATGTGCAGCTCCATTTCCCCACTTACTTTTGCTTTGTTGCCTGCTGAAAGGTTTAAGTACTTTTCTGGGACTGAGAGAAAGCATTGAAGTGACTGGGCGCATCCATGGCACCATTGTAGAGTGCGGGTAAATGATGAATCCATTAAAGGTGCCAGGTTATGACTGGAGTTATCTTGGGGCTACAATAGAAGACCAGCCACTTGACCTTTACTTTTTAAGATCTGTTGGCCAAGATGGACAGAACGTGTGAGAACAGTATGATGAGCTTGAGACAAAAACCTGGGATGTGAGCTGAATGAATGCTCCTGCCTAATGTTGCTGTCTGGGTAAGACCAGCAGACCATATCGCTAGCATGCACATCTACACAGGGTCTTTTTCTCACCTCAGGAGTCTAAAGACTGTGCTCCAGTTGCCTAACAAATGCTGCTTTTTAAAATCCTGCCCTGTGTCACTGCAGACCTCTTCTGGTTCTACAGCTCCCAGAAGGGTGGGTCAAGCATTTTTCAACCTGCTAATAGAGCCACAGTGAGAAACCTGAGGTGCCAAAGCTAAGGAATTGGTGTCCGAGTAGTGGAGCTATCTGGCTTCATCTTGATAATGAGGGGCCCACAGCTTAGCAGTGGGAAGGATTCAGTTCTGGAAAGTGTATAAAGGGTAGAGGCATGGCATGCCCTGTGCATCTGTGGCGTTCATATGAGAGCATCAGTGGTCCTTCCTATCCCTGCAGGGCTCAGCTGGTACTTGGACAAATTATCCCTGGTGGCAAGAGCTGTGTTAGTTAAAACAATACATCTTTGGGGGGTGAAATCCAGAACAGTCCTAGATGCTCCACAGTTCCCTGACACTGTCTAGTCTAGTGTAAGCAGTTTGCATTACTTCCAGTTCTGGTTAATGTAGCCACCTCAATGCTGTGCTGTGGTGGGGAGGTCTAACTTGCTCTGCTGTCAGCACAGCTAATTACTGTGGCTGTGTTCATGCAGTGCTGTGCCCAGGCAAATTAGCTCTGCTGAGGTATCCTGAGCCAGAAGCTGTTCAGGCAGCACCAGGCAATGTTGTCCTTTTTTCCTCATTACATCCAGTAGGACACTGCCTGGTATTGCTCTGGGGCCTGTTTTTCCAAATTCAAGCTGAAAGTTTCATGGAGTAAGTCCTCAGCAGCACTGGGGTATCCCAGAATTCAGGATTATCCCAGAAATTTTGGGGTGGTTGGTCACTTTTTAGCATTAGTCAGTCTGAGAGCCAGAGAGTATGAGGAGGTTCTGCTCATGTCCAACAGGTTCAAGAAAAGAATCGTCTCCAAGTTCCAAACCAGATACTATAGGGTAGGTCTGTGTGAAATATTGCCAGCTGTTTCGACACTGTTTTGACTCATTTCAAGGTCAGAACAGCAAAATCAAAATGAAACAAAGGGTGTTGAAACAACCTTGAAACAAAACGAGGCTACTCGAAATGTTTTGAAAGTCAAAATGTTTAGACCATAGCGCTGGGCTGACTTCCCATTCTGTGTGCTAGATCAGGCCTGGGGGTGGGGGAGTCAGCCGAGCTGGATTGACTCCCTGTTCCCCATGCTAGATCGCGCCAGGTGCGGGAAGTCAACCCAGCTGGGCTGACTTTCCCCCCAGCACAATATAGCGCGGGGCATGGGAAATCAGTCCAGCTGGGTTGAGTTTCTCCATCCCAGTCATGGGGCCAGGGTTTGGGAACTCAGCCCAGCTGGGCTGAGTTCCTTTCCCCAGCCCGATGGTCAGGTGAAACAGCATTAAAACAGCTTCACTGTTTCCACTCAAAATTAAATTTGATACAAAACGCTGTTCTGTCCAGACCTTGAAACTGAAGTTGGAACAGAACAGTGCTGTTTCACACAGCCCTACAATAGGGTAGGTTAATTAAAATGTGATTTTCTTTTCTTTCCTGTCTTTATTTTTTTAATAGGCATGCTTCTTCTTATGAAACCACTAAACTGTTGGCAAGCTCCTTGCACCAATACTAATAGAAGACAGGAAGTGAACTGTAGAGCAGCACTAACCAGCTCTTGCCTTCACATCAGGCCCTCAAAGTCATCTTTTCCACTTGCCCACTATATTTTCATCTGAGGACAGACTTTCCTAACCCCATCTCTCCCTTTGATAAGAAGTTTTTTTCCCCAGCTCAGTAGAACAATTCAAAAGAACCTCCCTCCTCTCTCCCTGAGGCTCTTTTTAATCAAATCCTACACCTTTCATTTCTAAAACCCGCTGCTGCTTTTATTTTTCTTCTCAAGAGCTTGAAGTAAAATGATTCCTATGAAAGGGATGGATAGATAACAGGGCTGGCAATTAATAACCAAAAGAGGGGGAGAAGTCTCCCTTTTCTTAACGTAAAAGAATACATTTTTATTCAGGTTTTATTAGAGGCAAGGATCAAAAGAGTTGGGTGAAGAGAACTGTAATCTAGTCCATCATTTAAGTACTTTTGAAGAGTCATGGCAGACAGGCATTTATGCATAGCTATACTAGTTGGCAGTTTCAGTAATTATTTATGGCTTGCTATTTCCCATTCCCTCATCAAATTGCAAGGATGGTTTATCAAGGTGAGAATTGGGCAGGTGGGAAGAGGGAGTGGTGCTGGCTCCTGCCAGACAATTGGAGGTAATAATCTCCTCAGAGACCAGGTAACTCTTCAGAAAGGTGGAATTCATTTGGCCATGTTCAGAGCTGGGAGTGAACAAAGTGGCAGGGGAGGGACGATGGGCTGGGTGTGGGACAGAAGCAGAGGAGGAAGAGATGGAGGAGGTGCTAGACAAGACAGAAGAAAAAAATCTCATCTGCCAAGTATGGCTTAGAAAAAGCAAATGCTTTGTGAGCAAGCAGAAGCGCTGCTATTGTGTGCCTTTGAATGGAGCCATGTCTTCAGTCCTCCCTGCAAATCTCTGCAGCTGTTCTGCTGAGTTTTTTGCTTTATAAAAAATGATTTATACCTTGAAGGAATCAAGTTTGGACCTAGGAGCTTGGGGCTTGGTTTCTAGTTCTGCTACAGGCTCAGTATTTGACCTTTGATGAGTTATTTAATTTCTCTCTGCATCTGATCCCCTTTGACAGATGGGGAAAATACACTCTTTGTTTGGATTGTAAACTCTCCAAGGCAGGGCACTCGGTAGTTGTATGGCGCACAGCTTAATGAAAACTACATCCTGGTTGAGGCCTCTAAGTCGGTGATTCTCAACCAGTGTGCTCTGGCACCCTGGGCTGCCTTGAGATCCTTTCAAGGGTACAGTGGGATGCCATGCAGTGTTAGCACTGTTACATGTACAGACATGATTCACAAGATAAACCCAGAAATTTCCAATAGGAGTCCATAGTGTTAAAAATATTTTGACCTGTTGTGGTCTTTCTGAGTTCTTTGCAACAGAAAAATGGATCTGTTGTTTTTCCATAGTCAAAAAACAGGTGAAAACGAAGAGCTTGCATTTTTCATGGGGTTTATTGAGTCTACAAATGTTGAGAACCATTGGTATAAGCATTTCCGAAACACACACACAGTGTAAGGAGATTTTATTTGTCCCTTTTCCTGCTTGGAACACCAAGTCACCTTCCTCTGGTGCGAGGCTTGCTCACACAGGGTATCGGTTTGTGGAAGATGGAGTGTCAACAGATATTTGTCACCTCGGCATCCTGAGCTGTATCTGTGGAAGTGCAATTCCTGTTAAGAGAGGTTCATGTTCTTTAGAAGGGGGTTAAATGACATCACTGCTGTTACGGGCTCTCAGTCACTCATCAAGTACACATGGCCTCACAGCTTTACAGGTTTTAAAGTGGAGAAAGCTTTCTATTTTGCATGGGGGTAATCGAACATTTTCTTTTTCAATTTCAGTGCTAAATCTGTCTTATACTGTTCCACAAACTGTATCTTATTGGGATGTAGGGCCTTTGTTTTCCCCTAGACTAGAGTGTCAGTCCACAGTCTCCATCAAAGCACCTGAATTTGAGACAGAAGGAATGAGGGGAGAGAGTTGATTCTTTAGGGACCATTTAGCCCTAGGCTTCTGGATGAAGTTGGGTCCTCTGTTGTGCTGTTTTAGTTGTTTTAGGCTTCCCAGCCTCGAGTTGGTTGTATTTCAGTGTCAAAGTGTTTCCCATGTGTATGGTGAGGTAGTCTAAGGTCTGTTGAGAAGAAATGTGCTCTCTGAAAAGAAATGTGTTTTCTGAAATTAGAGTAGCAGTAATTCATTCATGTAGCAGTCTGGATATAGGATGCTTCCTACTTGGAGCCTGCCTCTACATTTTCACTATTCATAGGTTCTCACCTTGACTCTGATGGGATACAAGGAAGATTATCCCTCTGGTACATACTTGCATGAAGCCCTTGCACCAAGCCCTGGAAGTGCCAAGACTCAGGCTCAACTAGTTCCCGAAAAGCAGCTTGTTTCCTGGCTCTGTCATTGGCCACTGGGGATTGGCCAATCAAAATGCTTTGGTAGGAAGCAGCTGGGACACAGGCAAGTGGCAGGCTGGTGAGTCAGTTGGGACATGGCCCTGTTAGGCTGTTGGAAACAGTGGCTAACTCCTACGTGGGACGTCCTAAAAACCAGGCCCATAATCAGAAAGGGGGTTTTGTACCAGCTACATTTCACTTAATTATTACATGTTTGCTTGTTATCACAGGAGGCAGCCTTTCCAAGCAAGACTGGACCATCCAGTGGCCAACGACAGAAACAGGGAAGGAAAACAACCCTGTGTGCCAACCAGAATCCATGCAGTGGATTAGAACGCACCTTTCCCAGAGCCCCAAAGTGCAGTCCAAATGCATCCAACACTACTGTCACCCGGGTTCAGCCCATGGACCGATGTATACCCACGTGGACAGGCTGACTGTGGAGGGCCACCCAGGGCTTTGCCCCCCGGTAGAATCTGGACATCGCTCTTTGCCGCCATCCCCCCGGCAGCGGCATGCTGTTCACACACCTCCACGGACCCCTAACATAGTCACCACGATGACTCCTCCAGGCACGCCGCCAGTGAGGCGGAGAAACAAGCTGAAACCACCAGGGACTCCTCCCCCATCATCCCGGAAACTGATTCACCTCATCCCCGGATTCACTGCCCTACACCGGAGCAAGTCGCATGAGTTCCAGCTGGGCCACCGAGTGGATGAGGCACACACTCCCAAGTAAGTGAGCTCGGGATGGGGGAAGGGGGGATGTCAGGCGAGCAGTGCAGGATGGAGTGATGGGCTGTGATCAGGTAGTTAGGTAAGAAAACATGCTGGTAATGTACATCTCTGATCAGTGCTGCCTGTCTAGTGGCTAGAATACCAGTATCCTGGAGTTCTGGTTTCTAAGCCTGGTCTGGCTTTGGCTGATCCTGTTTTCCTAGGGTGACAATGCCAGCCCCACAGTGTTCTTGAGTGTCTGAACACTTGTGGAGCTCTGCGAAATCCTTGGCTGGGAGGTGTTAGAGAAACACTGAGTATTGCTAAAAGCCTGACACCATGTGCCAGATATCACTTGTTAAGTGCTACGTGCTCCAGTCTGTTAAACCTAACCTGGTGCTTAATCTCCGAGATTAAAGTCCTGTGCTGTTTTGGCTACTGTGGATGTGGGGGTGATGTGTTAATTTAGAGGTTTTGGTTGAAATGCTGCTAGAGAACGTGGTTTGGGTTTCAAGCCAGAAAGGGCTGCTGTACAGCCCATATGCCTAGTACCTTGGGGATGGTACAGGAGGCATGAGGCATTACTATAGGTGACTTGTAAGAAATAATTTATGGGCTCGGTAGAGAGCTTCATTTAAGCTTTCTCCCTTGGTGATATTTGGCCACCCTTTTGGGGACAGGGAGAGCTGAGTGTATTGGTTAGAAGAGCTGCTGTTCTGGGTGCTGACTTAGTTCCCAGTCAGCTCCAGGATCTTGGGATTGCAAAGTTGTCAACAAATTACTTTGGCTCTGCCCCTTAACTCAGACCAGGGCTTGGTGTCAATTTGTTGTAAAGCTCTGTGGATCCCTGTGGATGCACTTCTGCCTCTCAGAGCTAGTTACCCAGGAGGCCCTCAACTCTATTTTCCTACCTGTGAAATGGAACTTAGGATACGTGTCCTGTTTTTCCTGCTAGATCTTAGAGCAGTGATTCTCACACAGGGTGCCACAAGATCTTTTTAAGGGTGCCACTTATTACTAGTAGTGTTAGGTGTGCCAACACTTATGATTCATGAATAAAGACCTACCTAAATCAGTGAGACAAAGGGTTTTTTGCAGCCCACTCTTGTGTGCAGAGCCAATTTTATGGATGTTTTATGGTGGCCCCACCTCTTGGTGGTGATTGGTGGAAAGTCCCCACCCCTTGGTGCTGATTGGCAGAGAGGCCCTAGCGGAGGGAGGTGGAATGAAGGGGCAGCTGCCATATTGATTGCTGACTACCCTTTATGCGGTCCTGCCCCTTAACGCTGATTGGCAGAGGGGATGGGGGGGAGGAGAGACCACGGGACAGCCACCATCTTATCTGCTGCCCTTTGTGCCACTGTGCCAGCTGGTGCCTTCCCCTTCCACCAGTGAGGACCACTGGCTCCCACTGGGGAGCAAGCATTTTATTTTTAAAATTGTTTTTATTGATTTTGCAGATTTTATGGACAATCTCAGATTTCATGATTTCCATGAAACCACTAATTAAGCAGGTCCCTATTCATAAGATGAACCCAGAGATTTCAAATAAGAATTTGTTCACGTGGGAAAACAGTCTGACCCATTGTGTCTTTCTGAGTTCTGTGCAACAGAAGAATTGTTCTTTTATTTTTCTGTAGTCAAAAAGTGAGTGACAGCTAAAAGCTTACATTTTCTGAAGAGGTGCTCTGAGTCTAACAGGCCATACCTCGAGTCTAACAAAGGGTACCTTAAGTCTAAAAATGTTGAGAACTCCTGCCTGAGAGAGAGGGAAAACATTTTATATGAGATCAAAATTTGGATAAAGTTTTTTTTGTTTTGTTTCGTTTTGTTTTTTTTAACTATTCCCATCTTATCTTCCGCTGATCATATGACCTGTAAGTCACCTCTTTTTCCCCCATGCCCTGATAATTTCTGATGCTGGAAGAACTTCAGAAGCAGAAAAAAATTAAGTCAAAATGACAATAGGGCAGAGAAACTGAAAAGTAGCCTCTTAATACCACAGAACTATGCAATTTTTCGGTTTCTCACCATCCCAATAATTATAAGCAGTGTTAGAACAACACTGCTGTGGCCTGTTCCCTGGGGCTGTCGATAGCAGCTTTTGCTGTCTGCTCTATATGCTTAGCTAGTGATTATCCATGGTGTTTTTCTTACTGAGAGGATCCCAGTAGTTCAAAGGATCCTGGCTTCTCTTAGCTGTCAAGGCTTTCTGAAAGGTGTATGCTGTGAGTTTCAAAGGTGAAACCATGGCAAGAATGTGGAAAGATGTAGGCTGTGGTGTGGAAGTGAGGTCCATTTTTAGCTCATTATTTTACAACTAGCAGTAGAGTTTACACCCAGAGTCACCTGGCACTCTCAATCCTTTGCCAGTGGCATCTCCTGGCTCTTCTGAAACAGGCAGCTAGCTCTCCTTCTGTCATTGTTTTCTTCCCTAGCAAGACTGATGCTGGCCTTTTGCTAAGAAAGTTGCCATTGACTTTCAGATATAACAGTGTGGTTCCCCATCATAGCCCTCCAGTTATTCGTGCATCTAAGCTAGGGAAATTATATCCTTTTCCCTGCTCCCTTTCTTCACTTTGCATTCAGGTTCACCTAATTTCTTTGGCCTCCTTCATCCTGTGGATCCTCAGCCAGCAGGGGGTGCTGTCATGCTGGAAAATGCCATTGTTTTCTCCTTGTGATGATCAATTCCTCAGCTCCAGCTTCTGCAACTGGATAAAGTCTGTTTATAAACAGAGTGGCTTTAGGAGGAATGCAATCTGTATCTTGGCCAGGCCCCCAGACTGGTCTGAGGTCCTACTATATTAGCAGCTGTGAACCTGACTGCTCGTGTATTAAGGCAGGTCTGTCCAAATGGCAGCCTGTTGCCTCATGCAAGGGGTAGATTTGTGATCCCCAGGCTCCTACGTGGCCAGTGCTGCCCTCATTGCTTCTTCCATTGGTCTTCAGGCTTCCCCTCCATTCTCTGGCTTCTGCTTCCTGCCCCTGCTCCAGGCTGCATGTCACAACCGGGGGGACCATGGTCCAGAATGCCTTCGTGGTATGGTATTGGGGCACCCACTCTGGGGAACTGCGGGTGGGGCCAGATGTCTGCACAATGCAATGCAGTGGGGGAAGACCCCGCATGGCATGAGGCTGGCGTGGCCCATGGCTTCCACTGCTGTGGCTTGTGTGACTTTCAGCCCCTGGCCACTTAGAAGTTGGACAGCCCTATATTAATGCATAAGGGCCTGATACTGAACCTCTGAATAAAGATACCCTGCTTATAAATGGGGAGTTTTGCAGGCTTATCAGCCTAGCTGACTTCTGCCCTGGTGCTGTGGGGCAGGCCTGTAACATTTTTGGGCAGCCATATCCTGAACTGTGCTTGAAACAGGTCATTCTTGTAAAGGGAGGAACCTGGTGATGAAAGCTCCAGAAAGGAGGAAAGTGCTACAGACTGCTAAAAGGCTTTGCTCTTCTAGATGTAGGAGGCACCTGTATAGTATGACAGGGGCTGGCAGGATGAAACCTGAGGATAAGTATCTCCCTGTATGTACTGTACCCTAATAGCCTGTGGGGGGGAAGTAACATCTCACAGATGGGCACCTTGTTTTCTGTGTGATTAGAGCAGCCTTGATATGGGCTGGCTGGTTCTGTTCTGGTACAGGAAGCAGAGAGCTTTTGGCTGTTTTGTATCTGTTTCTCCCTTTCTTCGTCTGCTTGGCCCTGTTCTCAGGCTCAGTGCATCCAGTTAGCTCCAGTTGAGGAATACAAAGGGTTAAAGCTTTTCTCTGAAGGAAAGGGAACAATGAGCAAGGACAGAGGGAGCCTGCAGGGAAAACTTAGGAGCAGCCAAACTCAGGAACAAGCCTTGGCTGAGGTTCTGGCTTTATTGTGGGGCATTTGTTCAAAATAAAGGTGAGCTGACTGCATCCAGCGTTCAGGCACTCCACTGCATGGTGGAAATGCCATCTGGTAGCAGGGATGGACCAGGGCTTCCAGTCAAAACGCCCCTTAACTTTGCTGCCCTTTGTATCTGAATGCAAAACGTGTCAGTCTTATCCCCCCTGCCTCCTTGAGGTCCCAACTTGAGACCTATAATTGCAGTGCTGGAGCTCAGCACTATGACATAAATATCTAATCCAGGGCAATGCACTAGTCTTTCTTTTCTTCAACAAGAGCTTATTTATTCCTAATGAATAGAAACAGAGTGCATTACCCAATCTTCACCGTTCTTTGTATATACTGAATTCAGGCGTGCACACTTCAATAAATGAATAGGATTGCCAGTTCATTAAGTCCAAATGTGGCACCTTCTCTCATCAGTCAGTGCCAAAGAGAAGTGTTTCATATCCCGCTTTTACAGTATGCTCCCTGTCTCTAATGAAGTATTGCGGTGTGCAGTGCATTTCAGGGCATTCTTGCTGATTATGCCCTTCTGCTGATGTTCCTTCCGCTCCTTTTCTTTTTCTTCTAAGGAGGTGGTTTGTTGTTTGATCTCAGCTTCTCTGTTTCATGCTTCTTCACATTAAAGGGATGTGGTAAAAAAAAAAACAACAACCCAAAAAACAGCACTTCTCTCTGAAAACTTCTGATTTACTCTTGTTGCTAGTAACACCTAATGTCAATGGAGCCGAAAGACGAGAGGGCTTTTCCCCCCTTGCTCAACATATGTATTTTGTATATCAGTTTCAGTTATTTCTCCAGGGGACTCACTTTTCTTCATTTGCATGGATTTTTCACTTTGGTGGCAAGGAAATATTTATTT